TATTACAAGCCTTTCTCATTTTGTGGGGTTTTTTCTTTTGTGATTTCTTTGATCTTTGTCAAACACAAATAAATATTGAATGACGAAAATTTACATCATTAAGGGACAATTTATGCTTATGTACATGGAAAGAGCATATGATTCTCCTTTTTATGTTATATTTCTTTGCTTGCAATACATAAGATGATAGCACAGTTACTATTTCTTGCAGACCAAAGTGCACTTTGTGTTCATAATCTTAAACCTGAAGTGGGGTTATAAGCTGCTGATGAACTCTCTCTGAGGAAATAGGGTTTTTTTTACTTGAGCTCAGATCATTCGTTAGAGGTTTAATCTTCAAACTTGTCGCTCCTTTGACAAGAGACTAAGCAAGGTGCGGTGCGCATGTAGATGGCCAAAGTTGTTGCCAGCCCAACTGGAACACAAGTTGGTGAAGTCGACATGTTCCAAATCGAAAATGAAAGGAGCTCTTATCCGTATGGGAATTCTCCTTCCCCATGTATACCGGTTGGCATGGTTCCCCGGTCGACGTGGTCTGTTTTGGAATTTTTGACCAGTAAGGAAATGGTACGATGACAGGAGCTAGTTTTGTCCTCCGTATTTCGTATACATCGTCATGTGTATCTATGTATGTACAGTCCTTATTGGGGAATCATTCATCATTTTAGAAAGATATGGACGTGCGCGTGCGTCAGTAATGACCTCCGAAAGGTAAATCTTTCTCGGCGTGGCAATGGAGCTAACACAAAGTTCGAATAGGATTTCGCCAAGAAAGATGATCCGAAAGAAAATAATAGAAAGCGAAGGCTCCGGAAAGGTTTGAACCAGTAGTGTAACATTGCAGCTGTGCAAGAGGGTTAATGTGCTTGGCCCTTGTTCAGTCTACGGTATCCACACGTTTTAGAGAGAGAGAGGAGAGGGAGGGAGGAATATGGTTGGGAATTGGAATAAAACTTGGGGGCGGGGGTGGATTTAGGTGGGAGATGAGGGGGACGTGAATACAATGATCATGATGATGGAAAAAGAAGCTTTGTGGGGGCAATTTCTTTCTTTGTTTTTCTTGGTTTTGTTTCTTCCCAGCAACTTCTTCATGAGAGATTAGGTCACTTCTTCTCTCTCTCTCTCTCTCTCTCTCTCTCTCTCTCTCAAGATCTCTCCTACATCCCTTTCAGCTGTTAAATCTTCAACTACTTCTCGACATTCCCAGCATCATGTACCAGTCATCCATAGCCATAACCCCTGTGAAACTCTCTCTGTCTCTCTCTCCCTCTCTCTTAAGTGCCCCTCACCACACTCAACATCCCCACCCACTCTTCTCTCCTCTCCCCATGAAAATCACTGGACAATGGTTCTTTGCAACGTTGGATCATCCATACTTACCTAAAAAACTGATTTTTAATTAACCATGACGGCCGCTTCAAGAATTGCCTTGTGAAGATGAACTTTTTCGTCGTAAAAAGAAAATTATCCGTATGGGATGTTCAGTTTATACAACTGACTGATCCTATTTTTAGAGGACAAGTAAGAGAAGAAAGTGCTCTGAGTAACCACGAAAGTGGCGACCGTTTAGGGTATTTATTTATAATTCATTCAATATGGCCTCTCTCATGTGATGCGGGATTAAGGATGCTAATTTATTATAAATTACTCCATATGGCATCTCTCATATGATGAGAGATTAAGGATGTCACGCACGTTAAACACAAAAATCTGCGACGACGGACGATATTCTAAGTTTACCCAATTGTCACGTTAAATAATAACCAATGAACAATGTTTTTCTCTCTACTGTATGCAGGTAGGCGGCAAGCGCCTGGTGCGCCCTTTTTCTATATCAACATCACTCAAGCTTTTGAACTTGACCGACAAGGATTCTACAGAATTTACACCAAACACGGATTAATTATATCAGAAGTAGACAAGTTCTTTAAAATTGCAACAAATGTCACGGCTGGTGTCGGGTCTTGAAGATTGGTAGGTTTATTTCACTGTTGCTCCATAAAATCTCCTTTCTAACACTCAATCTGCCTTCAGCACTTATGTCATCAGTATCACCTTTAGTTTTATAAAACATGCACGTCAAGGGAAACAACTTTCGGAGTTATTCAGTTTGACTCTTCAGAAATCTGCGTTCGATCGAATTGTCAACTTTGTACACTCCGAGCGTTGGAGCGTTCTGGGGTCGGAGCATGCGCATGGTTTGAAATTGGAGATGGCCAATCTTCTTTCAATCTAGAATCATACTGTATTGATCTGGTCGAATGAAGAGTCAAAAGCTCCTGAACTGCATCCATACCTAGCTTGAAGCCCAGCAAATCGTCTGTCATTAGATATTAACATGTATAAACGAATCGCATAAGAGTTCCTTTTATGATAATAAATCATTTATAACAGACAAATATATGAACCCGACATGATCTTTCTGTTGTCACCGATCTAGTCCTCCCATCCATACTAGAATGGATTAGAACATATGAGAAATATCCGTAAGAGAATCGCATAATTTGTGTAATTCCTAAAGAAGTCCTAGATGCGACTTGAGCTTTTGCTTGTGTTCACGAAAATCACCACATTACATATAGACACAAGAGCATATTGATATGCAGCCCAAGTCAACGCGGCGTGCGTATGAATGCAGATCTCAATTTCTTCATAGATGATCTTTACGGGGGAAAGAAGACATTATAGACGATTCGGCCATTCGATACGCATTATTAGAAAGGAATTGACAGCAACATTACGTTTTTCTTAGGAAAAGTGTTAGAAAAGTCTTAAACTTTTTGCATTTGTGCCAATTTAGTCTTAAACCTTTTGAACTAGTGCCAATTCAGTCATTTCAACTAATTTTAACCGGATTTTGCTGACATGGACGCCGGTTGGTCTACGTGGCACCACATGCTGTCATGAACAATATTTTAATTATTTTTTTCTGATTTTTTTTTTAATTTTTTTTCTCTCTTCCTCCCTTCATTCCTTTGCCGGTGACCGGCCACAGGCGATGGCCGGGCGAGCTGCCTTCGCTTGGGCGAGGGTCGGCGTCGCCCAACCAAGCTGGGCGAGCCCTGGTGAGGGCTCCCCTCACCAGATCTAGCGAGGCCGGCCCTTGCGCAAGCCACGGCGGCCTCACCGGGAGTCGTCTTGGCTCGGGCGACGCCCAATGAGGCCACCCTAGCCTGCGGGGGCTTGAGCCTCACGCTGGCCTGGGCGAGGCTCGCCCTCGCTGGATCTGGCGAGGGTCGAGCCTCGCCGCCAGTGCGAGGCTTGACCCTCCCCAGTGGCCGGTGGGGCTTGCTAGAGGCCCCCCTAGCCTCTAGCGAGCCTTGCGCTGGCCGATGAGGCTCGACCCTCGCCAAGAGCCTCGCCTAGCCTCTAGTGAGCCTTGCGCTGGCCGGCGTGGCTCGACCCTCGCCAGAGCCGGCGAGGATGAGCCTTGTCCAGCCGCTGGCGAGGCTCGCCAGAGGTCCCCTGGCCTCCAGCCGGTCGCCGGGAAGAAGAAAGGAAAAATATTAAAATATTATTAAAAGTTATCCACCGCATCGCAGACGATGCCATGTAGGCTAGCTGGCATCCACGTCAGCAAAATCCGGCTAAAATTAGCTGGAATGACTAAATTGGCACAAAAACAAAGAGTTTAGGATTGAATTGACATAAAAAAAAGGTTTAGGATTTTCTGACACTTTTTCCCCTGTTTTTTTTTAATGCAAAGTAGAGTTCCCTAGAAGGTGTGGACTTGTATTGGATGAAAGTAAACCACAGTTCCAGAACGGTGAAGCGAAAATGACGAAATGCTTCCCGTTGATCCCAGGCAACTCCCTTCTGTGGCCAAATGGAAACCAGGAATCTGTCTATTTCCTCTAAAGCCTCACCAGCAATTGCAGGTGCCATGCATATCCATCCAGAATCTCTTTTCTTCTTTTTATGGCATTCGTGGTGTCTGAAGCAATTCGATTCTGGCCGTCCTATAGAATTGGACCACCTTTTATCAGTTATTTTCCGCCGCACACGTCCAACAAATGCATACAACACGCGCAGCCACGACGCAGAATACATGATATGACCTGTATAGACCGGCTTGACGTGAAAATTCCCAGCTCAATCATTCTGTTTGGATCCATCAAGTCATTATTAGTACGGTTAAGGTCACTCTTGTCATTTTGGCTTGATAAGTTGGCGTGGCTTCCATAAAAACCTCAAGCCAATATGGAGAGATTAGAGTATGCTTATTATCATTTATCAGAACCGTTATATGGTCGTGAGTTGTGCATCGAGCTGAGTATGCCTGGGGAACCATGGCCACTGAAGCCAAGACACAACATATTACATGAGACACGCGTTGCTTGCGCATATTTAGGTATGAACTGTACACAATTTTTGTGCTCCTCGATTTCTCAATGCCGGACTCGTCTGGTATGTCTGGGGGACCATGGCCACTGAAGCAAAGACGCAGCGTATTACATGCGATACCCGTTGCTTCCGTGTATTTGGGGATGGACTGTAAACAATTTTCGTGCCCTTTCAATTCTCAATGCCGGATCCGTCTGGTATTGAAGCTACACCGGACAATCGTTGCGTTCACACTAGTATGAGTTGTCGACTTTTTGCATTCTTCATTTTTTTGGATAACACCGCATTAACTAAAAGTATATGATTAAATCAAATTTACGGGGCACATATACTGCACAGACTGGCAACTGAGAGGGAGTAACCATAAAAGGGAACGGTAGCTTAGTTGCTTGTCCTAGAAGCTTAAGCTATCAAAAAACAGACCCAAGAACATATATAAAGTAGATTTCGTGACAGATATTTAATTGGTTAGAAGGGGGAAAACAAAGAAATCAAAATGCACATATGACATTTGATAGATAGTAGAATGCCCTGGATATATATTTGCACAGTAGCATTTGAGATTGGACTAAAATGGTAAAGTTGATCTTTTGCAAATAAACAAATGGCCTTGTTCATTCTTGGAGTACGTTTAAGTTATGCTCATGACAACAGTATTCGCTCTGTAATGGATTTCACTATATAAAAAGGTACATTTCTGCAGTACAACAAATATGAAAATTATTTACAAATCGAATCTAAGCTTTTAGCCAGGACGAGAAATTTGGGGGTCAGACAGGACATTTATTTGTACAGGCAGGAGAAGATAGGCTTTTTACCATCAAATTCGTTGAGGGCACCTGAAAGTGGGGTAATAAGTATCCAAGTCAAGCCGGTCCAGAATATCTTGCGTCGCCCATAGATACGAACTGTGCCCTTCAATGAGATCTGTAATGTCGACCTGCATAAGAAACCAGATTGGAGAGTGATAAATACACCGTAGTCCGATGCATGTTCATTCAACTGAAGTTGACGTGTCTTACATTCTCAATCCCAGGATGGTCAGTTGCTTGAATTCCAGCTAATCCTTGAGTAAACATACTGCAGAAATGAAACTTCTAAACACGATCAGAATACATTTTGTAGACCAAGTAACTCAAAGTCTATGTAAATCAGGAATTGATGGCTCAATTTAGAGTAATGCAGTGGAATCTATATCTCCGGGCTAAAGCAGATTAATAGACATGTTTAGGGTATATGAGCTAGAAAGATTTACTGCAGTCAACTCCAATGTCCATCATAATTACCTGGCGCGGAAAGCAAGCCCAAGCATCCAATCATTTGTGGAGTATGCATTAATAAACCTTCCAGACACCATCTGCAAAATAGTGGTAAGCATTGAATCAATAAATACAGATCTACAAAGAAGAGTTACAAGCCGTAGGAAGATGCTCCTTGAGAGTCAAAGTTCAATGACCTTTCTGGCAGCTTTCCAATTCTCATCTCTAATTGAGATAGGTGCACCCAGAAGGACGACTCTTTCAACAAGTTCAGCTGTTAAGAGCAAACAAGTTCTTGATGATCACTAGCACTCAAGCATTTACCCGCCTAATGCACTGCCGAGGCAGCCAATGAAGCAGAAAAGACTGAAGAGGGTAGAGAACTATAAAAACACAAATTCTAGGCTCCACAGTACCAGTCTGTTCCGTTTCCGCAAGAAACTGGAGACATTTGAAAATGACCCGTGCTCCAAGCGAATAACCTATAAGCGTCACAGGCCTGAGAGATTTTCAGATTGACGATCAACCACATTTAAAACTTCCAGGGGATACTCAATAGTGCTGTTACTAAGCTCAATACCTGTTCCCTTGCAAGCCTTGTCGTAACACTTCAGCAAGAATCTTTCCTGCTTTGTCAGATCTATACAAAGAGCAAAACAAGAACCTTTGAACCTTTGAACGTCGCTGGTTCCACTAATCTAATTAGCAAAAGTGTCTTGAAGACCCCAGGGATTGGTAGAGGCCTAGATCAACTCATCTAACCAAATTACTTGAATGGAGTAATCAGCGCAAAAAGGAGTTTAAAATCGGTTTTGCTCATCAAATTACCACATCAAGAGACTTCCCTCTCATTTCTTGTGGTTATTACATAAATTCTTCAATAACTGAATGGAATTCATTTCAATCGTGAAACCACTAGAACCAGCAATCCTCTGGGAAATATTAGCTCTTAAAGAGACAAAAGGAAAGAGGTTTACAAGGGTTGGGACTCTGTCGTAAGTTTGAAATGTGGTGGAGGGATGGAAGTAGACAGTTATTTTCCTTGTCCAGTTTTACATACTATCCTACGGCTGAGTGGAGGGTTACCTGTTTATAGCAATTGTCCACTTGCTGTCAATAAAGTCAGTGGCAACAAGCAATGTAGCTGGCCAAGCCAAAGCAGTTAACAGTGTGCTTAAAACAGTCATCATTGCACCTTGCTTCATCAGTTCCATCGCAACTCCTGAGTCAAGCATTGGTATGTCACAAAAGGAGTGAGGTCAAAGTGTACTTCCATGGACTATTAAGAGCAATAAGATTGAAACTGATTACTTGAAGTAAGCCAATCCTGAATTGCAGTGCTCACAGCTATTAGATGCTTCGACTCCCACTGAAGCGCATACCTACACAACCAAGAATCGGCAACTAGGATCAATCATCAAATACCAACCGTCCAAACATACATTCGTTTTGTGATGACAGTTGTCAGCATGAAAAGAGTCGAACGGGGGAATGTGTGTCAAATTGTTCAAGATTATGCGCTCGCAAGAACTGAGAAGTCAGAACTAATTCAAATCCACAAGGAAAAGACAGGCAAACTAATTTAAATCAAGAGAGTGAATTCATGAAAGGATATTCGACTTTTCAAAATCTTCTCCCCAGTAAAAACAGTACTCCTATTGATAATAAGTGATGCTACTTTTCTGATCAGCTTTTCTATTGTAAAGCAACAACACTGCTGCAACTATAGGTGAAACTGGAGAGGGAAAAAACTGTATACCATAATCAAGCGACATAAAAATGATACTCAATAAGGTGCAGACAACATATAAGGTCAAAAAGCTGTGCAGAACAAACTCGGATGCAGGCAATGGTGCCACTATAATAAATAATCACCGGACTCCATTGAGATAACGCCTAAGATTGGAAGTTAAATTACCTTTCCAAGTTGTTATTTTGTCCCTGCCATGGGTTTACAAAATCCTTCTCGTCAAACACAAATCCAGAGACCAAGATCTCAACTGCTAATCGCTGATATAAGAAAAAATATTAAGAATAAAGCTTGTGCTGAAGGAATTAGTCATGGGACTCCTGTAGAAACTGAACCTTTAATGTGCACTTTCTTTTTCTAGTATCAGCAAAAAATTATCAGAAAGCATTTCCACGGCAATAAGTTTACACAGTACTGATCTCCTATGTTTCATGAATGCACAGGAAGGGCATCTAATTAAAGCAAGTTGATGGCATTTCACAAACGTGTGGCAGATGGGATTGGTTGGACTTGGCGTGCAGAAGCTGAGAGTGATTGATGAAGCTGGAGGCAACCATGAATAATCACTGATGGAGGAGGTGGTGGAGACAGTGGTGGTTAATGTAAATGCTAGAGTTGCAGTGGTGGTTTGGTCAATGCCAGTCGCCCAAATGGTATTGTAAGCTAAGCAAGTTTCAAACTACATCCTTTTCTGTAATAATAGAAGCGATTGCCGAAGTTTAGTGCGTATTTTCTGTTCAGTGAGAACATTTTCCACAGACTATTTTTTCTCGACTTTGCTGTTGGAAAATGAGAAATTATGTTTCCACACAGCTACTTTTGTGCAAAGTCACACCCTTAGTTAACAAGTCGCATCCATGTGAGTATATTTTGGTAGGGGGTTAGAGGGAGGGTATGACATTGATAGCAGACTGTTAGAAATGTATTCCCAAAATTGCATGATGGGAGACTATCTTATAGTGTGGAAGCATAAGTATTTTACCCCTTGGTTTTGGTTCTCCCCAATGGATTTAAACTCAAATTCATCAACACCTCCAATTCTTCTTGCCATTTTACTCCCCGTAAGACCAGCTCCGGCAGCTGGATATATCAAAAGACAAAGGAAATACAGATAAGGTTTTCAGAGGGTAAGCAAAAACTTAATTTCAGGAAATCAATTATGCTGTTATCGTTACTTGCAAAGCAATCAAAGCATTGATGAAGTAGCAATAAACCCTTAAGCGGAGAAATCTCTCTCCAATTGAAGACATAAAAAGAACTAAGAAAAACCACAAAGATCTAATAAAAAATCAAACTGCTCAAGATGATAAAGTACCATCATGCAGCATAACTGTTTCTTTGACAAACTTCAACAAGATTATGAAGTAAACTGGGTGAAGCAACTTTCATAGATAAACTGAACTGTTAAGTCTAGCACAAAAGGGAGCCTGCTCAAAAACCTGACTAGGAATTGGATTTATGTTATCACATTTACCTGCAGTATTTTATTCCCATCAGATCAACCTTTGCAGGTCATAATTTATTACCAATCAGTAATTTAAGTAAGATGGGTCCAAGATCCTAACACCTTAGCCAAAAGGAAGTATTTGCTGTTTTACAATCAGCTATTTAGAATTAATGTCCCAGTTGAAACTTTATCTTAAAATATGACACTTTGATGCATAATTCACACTCTTGAAAAAAAAAAGACTCTATGATACTGTTCATGACAGCTGAAAACAACTGCTTGCAACTCTATCTATATCCGATGACTAGGTAAAGGATTATTCAAAGAAATGCAATGAGCTGTTCACCTCCAAAGGATGCAGCAACTGCAACAGAACCAGCTACTGTTCCTGCAGCGCTCGCAGCGGCAGCAAACCCACTTGCTCCAATCACAGGAATCAAAGTGCCTAACGTTGGAGCTAGAGCACTTAAACCTGCGGCAATTGCTGGTGCAGCTAATCCTGCTTAAATATGGATAAGGTGAATAGATAATTCAAAAAAATTTAAGCCACAATTTCCAGTTATAGGTTAATTTTCTTCTGACTCATTATATGGAGAAGAATAAGCAGATTCATACCCCCAGTAATAGCCATTAAGGCTCCTCCAGTCAATGCAGCAGCACCAATGATGCCACCACGCTTCCATTTGGCCCATGAGCTCTTTGGCGATTGGGCTTTTTCTTCCTCTTTTAATTCTTTTTCCCTGGCTGCAGCCATTGCAGAGCAAGCAACCATTATTTCAATTGCTTCCTGCAGCCAAAACATCCCAAATTGGCAGAAGTTTGAACATGATTAAAGAGAACTTTTTAGGTGTTAATAACAACAATGCTCTATGTAAATGGAATAGCAATCCCTGAATACATCTCAAATCTCTCTATTTGAGGCCAACTGATTTCATATTTAGGTTGCTATATAGGAGAGAAATTGTCCTTGAGGCCAACTAATTTCATATTTAGGTTGCTATATAGAAGAGGAAAAAATTGTGCTTGAGGGGTCTCTTCCCCCAACCCAAACCCACTTAAGGCTCTTGCAGAAAAGGAAGTAGGCAGAAGCTAGATTAATTTAAACATGGATTTTATTATTCAGAAAATACTAAAGTATTAAATAAGTCAGAATGCAAAGAATCATATTTTTCAAAAAGCTTTCACAAAAGAAAGATGAGTGTAAGCATACAAACCATTTTTAGCCACTTGATATCCAGCCAAGTAGCTAACAACCTCAAAGCCACCCGATGTCTAGCATCATACCCTTTCCTTCGTCGAGCAACCTTTTTGTCATCATCACGAATATCTGCTAGACAAGCTGAAAGAAGCTCATAAAGAACTGTCACTTTCCTCTGGTAACTGAGCATTCCACCTTCCTCCACAGACTCCCCATCAAGTTTGTATCCAGGCCCAAGAGACGAGCTTTGGATGTTGTAATCGCTCGTATCAGGAAAAGTTTCTGAGGCTATAGCCACTGCTGCAGCATTTTCTTGTCCATCACTCGTAGAGCATTTCTGCCGGCACTCATGCTCATATTCACGGTGCTTCTCCTTCTTAGACTGGAAAGACACAGGATTTGTCTCCATGCTAAGTGCCATACAGTCTATAGCTTTAGCCAAAGCAAATTGCTGTTCTGATCTTTCCGAAGAGTTGTCACCGCTATCTTCAGAGAGTAACCTCATGAACTGTACCAAATGAGCATGGGCAAGACGACATTAAGTTTAGCAGAAAAGTTTGCTAAATCACTGGTAGAGCCAGGAAAATGACAGATTCAATTAATGTGTTCTGAGTTACTAAAGCGACACTAGTCCTTCACTGGCCAAAAGACCAAGATCTACAAATATCTTTCCCCATTATGCCATCGACCATTGGTCTAATTCTAAAGAATGGGCATGGATAGCAGCAACCCCGCGAATAGCCAAGTATAATATCTCATCAAATACCAACTTAGGAGGCAGAAGAAATATCCCATGAAATCTTATACTGATATTTCGTATCCCGAAATTTACTCGAAACAGAAAGACCTACAGCTCCAACATGATGCTTTGCAGCAGATGAACCGGCAGTTTCCTCCAGACCCAGCCATGCCGCCTGATCGATACCTAGAAATCTGCAAATCACGGTTGCACAATCAGCATTACCAAAACAATGAATGAACCAAAAAAAAAACATCCAATGGGAAAGGAAAACAGGATACTATCATCGTCGGTGATCACATCGACTGTATAAAAAATTCGGGACGGTCTAAGATCGCCCGTTCAACCTCAACTGATTTTCACTGATTATGGTAACTGCTGGACAAGATCGCCAATTCAACCAAACCCGACCTAAATTATGACGACTACGGAAAGATCATAATTCCGCCGGATAAGCCACGAGATGATCGAGATCAATCTCTACCTAATTGGGGAACACAATCTGACAAAAAAGGGGAAAGAAAAAGAAGAAGAAGAAGAAGAAGAAGAAGAAGAGAGAGGACCAGAACTCACTTGAAAACCGGCCGGAGCAAGCCCGAGCTCTCGTGGACCCAAAGCTCGGGGTCCTCGGACACGGAGTCGCTGCTGCTCCCGCTACTGCTCCGCTCGTCGGAGGCCTCGCCGCCGGCGAAGGAGCCGAGGGGACGCGTCTGGTGGATCTGGGCCTGGTGGAGCGCGAGGGCGAACAGGGCTCCCGCCCCGTACCTCTGCGTCGGCGAGAGGAACGACGTCGCCGCCGCCGCCGCCATGATCGGAGGAGGAATCGCTCTTGAGTCCTCCGCTCGCGAGTTTTCTTCTTCGAAGCTGCCGAGCTTTTGGCGGGGTTCGGGGTGCAAAGGGACGGGCCGGCCTCCAGGGGGGGCTTTGAAAACGACGGCGTGCCGCTCGGCTCGCTCAAAGTCAAAAAACTTCGCGTACGAGGCGAGACGAGACGAGACTTCTTCTTTGTTTCTTTTCAAATTTTTTTACTGTTTCACTTCGAATTCGTTCTTGCAAGCTCTTTCAACGCGCGAAGCGATCGAACCGGGCGCTGGTGAATTTTGTTAGGATGGAGTCGGAAATTCGGACAGCCGAAACATGAGATTATCTGCAGATTTACGACGTCCTGAATCCCATAAACAAAATTACATTTGTTCGATCATTAATAGATTTCTGGCCAGAAATAGATTTTTTTTTATTTTTATTGCATGGAAGAGCTTCTGAGCCAAAATATTCGTTTGATAACGACACAAAATTTCTATTTTTGAAATAGAAATTCGTTTGATAAGGACACAAAATTTCTTCCTCCCGAGTAGCCAACGAGCAGGAGGCGACGGACGGCGGACGATAGGTGGTGGAGGGAGGCAGCCGGCGATGGGAGGCGGGTGGCGGTGGGAGGTGGCTGGCATTGGGCGGCGGCCGGCGGCAAAGGACGGCGACGAGAGGCAGTGGAGGAAGACAATGAGAGGTAGCTGGCGGGTGGGTGGCAGCGGGAGGTGGGCGATGTTGGCCGGCAGCGGGAGGTGGCCGATGTTAGGCAGCAGTGGGAGGCGGCGGCCGGCGTTGGGCGGAGGAGGAAGGCAAATGGCGGACGGCGATGAATGACGGCCGGCAAGCGGCGTAGGACGACAGCTGGCAAGCGGCGCAGGACGATGGCTGGCGGCGGCGGGAGGCGACCAGCGACGACGGGGGGCGGTGGGTGAGCGGCCGGCTAGTAGTGAAGGCAAGTGGTGAGAAGAGTTTTTATTTTTCATTTCGCTCTTAAATAGAAAAGTACAAAAATTTTACTTCGATTTTTATTCCAAACCTATTTCCTCGAGTAGAAATTTATTCTCGAAATAGAAAAATGAAATTGCTAACAAATAAATTTATGTTCCAAACTCCGTACCTAAAAACAAAAAAATAGAAAAAACAGATAAACGTAATGGTTGTCATGCGACTTAAGGGCCCGTTGAGAACGTGCCAAATATAAAATTTTCGTTCTTTCGTTCCCGTAAATCTGAACGTAAACGTGTTTAGTAAACTTTGTTCCGGGCACATTTTTGCAAACATTTGTGCCGAGAAATGAAGTGAAGAGAAACAAAAAGCAAAAAAAGTTGCTTCTTGTTTCTAAGACAATTTTGAGAATTAGTTTTTTTACTTTTGATTTTTTTTTTCTTTTCTATTTTTATGTTCTTCCCTTGGTGGGCTGGCCGCCGTGACCGGCGCGGTCGGCGGCCGGCGACGGCCATTTATTCACGGCCTCGCCGCTGCGAGGCGGCCTCGCCCGGATCCGGCGAGGCCGAGCCTCGCCATCGCGACCCACGGCGAAGCCGACCTCGCCGTGGGTCACGACGGCGAGGCCTCGGCCTCGCCCAGCAGCAGTCCGGCCCTCCGCCCTCGCCCGGCGAGGGCGACCCTCGTCTCCGCCGGCGAGGGCCGTGACGCCTCGCCGGCCTGGGCTATGGCGGTTCGAGCCGGCGACGTGTGGCCAAAGAAGAAAATGGGTAAAAAAAAAAAAATTAAACAATTCAAAATATTATTAAAATATTATTTGGGAACGAAATTTTGTATAGTTACCAAACGCATTTCTGTTCTTTTCTACTCTAGGAATAGAAATTTTGGACAGTTTATCAAACGCCTTAGAATACTCATAAATTGTTTCCTGATACGAGAATAAAAAAATCATTTATGTTCAAAAATAGTTCCCGGGCACAGAATGGTATTCATGCACACCCTAAATGCGCCATTAAATGATCCCCAATAGAATTTCTCATCTTGGTATCGAGATTCGGTTCATTGAACTATTAAGATCCCGATGAACATTTGGGCAAACTTTAGCTTTCGCGAAAACGATCAAAACGCATCATATATTCGTAGATTAAAAGATTAGAGTGTTCGATTGGTGAATTACTACCTTCGGCTTAATCCCTTTTCGCGTTCATTGCGATCTGCTGCGCAGCCATTTCGAGCTCCAGAGGCTTGTGGACACGAAAACAAACAAATTCATCCCTAGGCAAAGGAAATTACATGACCTTCCCAAAGCAAATTATCTGAGCTGCAATGTGATTGTAGCAGATACATGTACCATACCACTTACATGGCCCTTGTACAAGCGGATGCAAGAATGGTACAATCCTTATATTCTTATACGCCCCATATCTTCAACAACGATGCTTTACAGGTTAAATTAGACCTCAACCAGGAATATAGAAACTTCCCTACAACAAAGAATGATCGAGAGTAACTAAAAGTCTCGCACGGCCCGCTTCTAAAACAAATCAAGGATGCCAAAAATTACAATTCGCTCCCTTCTTGCAACACCCGCTTTCATAGAATTTACAAGCCCGCTGCCCTTTGGGAGGCTGACGGTAACTGCCGCTTCCTCCGCCGCCACCGGAATACTGCCTGCTCCATCCAGATCTACCCCTATTAAAACCTAAGTCTGATCCCTGATATGCCCGTTCTCTCGGACTTGCATATCTACTTCCGCTGTTACCGTATCTAGGCTGGTTCCCTAAAATGCCCTGATTTCCAGAAGCAGCACCCAAGTTAGCGTTTCCATTGCCGACGACCGGTCCATGCCTCGGATCCCAATCCAAGGTGGCATTTCCGTGATTTGCTCCCACCCAACCCAAGTTTGTGTTTCCTGGCAATGCTCCATAGTTACTCTGCGTTGTCACCGACGGGGCTATCCAGGTATTACTGGTGTGGCCTGCCTCCCAGCTTGGGCGAGAATGCATGGGACCAGAAATGGAGGAGCTGGTCCCTGGTTTCCACTGGTTAACAGATACATCACTATGCTTCTGATCTTCCACTGCCTCAGCACTCACAGACGAACGCCCACTAGACATCTTTTCAGCATTGGGAAGGCCCTGAGGTTCATCAGTAATTGTGGATTGTGAGGGTACATGCATATCACTAGTAGAGCTGAAAGCATCTCTCTTTCCTGGAGGCGGACCAGGACTGAACACCTCTACAGGACTGAAACAATCATCTTTACCCCCTTCCACCAATTCTGGACCTGACTTCAATATCGAAGTAGGTGAAGGCAAGCCATTAAGAGACTCCATAGCTTCAACTTCAGCCAACAGGTCAGAAACCGACTCCTCGGCTAAGGAGCTAAAATCATTGGGTTCTGTAACAATTGCCTGCCAACTAGTTGTATCAGGCACGTTATCTGACGATGAAGGGTGCACTATTGGGCCAGAAGTCGGAGTGGCAGCATGATCACCACCCATCTCAGCCGGTTTCAAGGATGATGCTGACACAAGAGTGGAGTCCCATTCGTCAACTAGTTTAGCCGGGGTAGAAGAATACATATTCCATTCTCTTGACACTTCATTGACCTGTCGTGCACAACCCACTAAGCTGGAATTTGTGCTCCAGCTTGGACCCGAATCTGGCACCGGAATATTGGATGACAAAGACTGTTTGCTCTCCGTGACTTGATTTTTCATTTCTTCAGTGTCTGTCTTTGGTGTTTCAATGTCCATACCAGATAAATCAGTTTCTCCATTTTTCGGTGGCATATCGAGCGATTTGTCCAAAGGCACCACAGGAGGATTTGGATCACAATCATTCATAGAACCATCTACAGGAGGTGCAGTTACCCAATTCTGTCCAGATAACTGACCGGAATGCCCATCACCACCAACTTGCTTATCATTCGTACATCCACCATTTGCTTGACCATCAATAACCGGAGGTGGTCTTGGGTTTCCATTATTCTGGGAAGCTTCATGGCTTTCATTTTGCCGAGGAGACTGGACCCGAACTGGAGAAGCCTTACCATCATTACTCGGGACATCTGCTCCCAGCAAAAGATTTTTAGCATTTTCTTCTCTGCTACTAATAGTATCTATTGCACTGATAAGACTTGACAAATTGGAGCCTAATCCACCATTTGGAAAGGCTTCCTCACCAGCTTTGCTAGGAGAATTGGAGATACTTTCTTTGGGAATGCAGCTCTCTTCACCAATACTTACATCTGTCACGACACTTTTCAATTCCTCCTGTCTGTTATGTTGGTCAATGGAGCTCACCTTTATTTCGTCTGGTGGCACAGAGGGCTGTTTAGTATACCGTCCATTCAATGCATCAGTCAAGAGTAAAGAATCTTCTAGTGCTTCGTCTATCTTCCATATCCTCAAATTACGCGGGAAATGCCCACTTTCATTCCATTTACGCAGCTGAATCAAAGTAAAAGGTCCTTGAACTTTCCCCCTTGGATCATGGTAGTGCCATATTTTGTATATCTCAACATCGTTCACAGATTGTTCAGTTCCTGTTGAAAGAGGTGACGGTGATATTTCTGATGCAACTCCAGAAAGCGATTCTGTCTTCCAACTGCTCATTATAGATCCTTCATGTGCCTGAATTCTTGAGGATCCATTCATCTCAGGCATTTGGCTCAGAGACTCTCTATCCATATCAGTTAATTTCTTTTTCTGAGATCTGCTTCGAGTTTCTGTCAAGTCACTGCTCCCCCTCTGTGGAGAGGTTGATGCCCTCCTCTTTCTGCCGGATTGAGAATTTGTCACATTTTTATTCCCATCTGCATGTAAAAAGCAAAATCACAATGAGCTAAACTATATTATTGCAAATATCAAAAGTTCATAAAAGCAAAATACATTGTAGATCTTGCTCTTCTGACCTGGTAAAGAAGAGTCACTTTTAGCTTCATACATAGGATCCATGCTCAGATCGAAGTGTATTTCAGGAAGTTCATTCAGTCTGCGCTGACGTTCTTCAGGTGAACTCAGGAGTTGTAATTTCTCCATGAATTCTCTAAGCGTGAAATGTGGTCAAGAAATACTCAAAAGAATTCCCAATTTTCACTGTCTTTCGAAAGCAAAAAACAGAAAGAAGACATATCTTTGTTTCTGCAACTTATTTCAAGAGGTGATG